TCACACACACACACACACACACACACTCACACTGGCACACACAATGTCCATGTCATAAAGAACGTTCTAATGCATGTGTGGCTGCCCGAGGGTCCCATCAGCGCAGTGGCCTAACTAATCTATGTTTGCTGTGGCTTGCAGTCCTCAGAGAAATCCTATCTAATCCTACCCTGTCCTGTCCTATCTTGTCCTGCCTTGTACTGTACTGTACTGTACTGTTATACTGTTTTACTGCCCTGCCCTGACCTGCACTGAACTGCTCTGCCCTACCCTACCATGCCCTGTCGTGCCCTGCCCTGCACTGCCCTGCCCTGCACTGCACTGCCCTGCACTGCACTGCCCTGCACTGCACTGCACTGCACTGCACTGCTCTCCCCTACCCGTACCCTGTCCTTCCTTGCACTGTGCTGCACTGCACTGCACTGCATAATATGTAGGTAAAGTCCTCAGTAACTAATTTTCCCCGTAGAGCATATTAAATGTTGCTAACACGGTCACGTAAGTCATTATTAAGGTGAACCCTTTTGTCATGAATTCCGACGGAATACCGAGGTGAGGGTACAACGCGTTCCAGAAGAGAAATAACAATTTTCAATAGTGTTGGCTTCAACCCACAAAGTCTCACTAGTTAGTGGAGTTTCACAGCCATTATCCCAGAGTCGTCATTTGATTTTGAAAGTACTATACAGTTATTTTATTTGTGTAATAATAATATAATAAATAGCATTTTGTATGGCTGGTATCCCCGATCGACAGCAAGCTCTATGCGCTTTACACTATTATTATTATCCCAGCAGACCACAGAACACTCAGAAACATTCTCAGCTTCCGAGGAAGCATACAGTGCAAGCAGCTAATTAAGCGCCCAAACACTAACAAACTGACAAGATATTTCACTGTCTATAGCCGGGAAGGCCTACCCATTCCCACCTGGTGAGGAAAATTCGTGTAATAACGTGCCTTTCCCAAGTAAACAACGTCGGTTGCGAATCTGAGAGCATAGTCACTGGGCCATATTATGTTATATTGTTAGTAATGTTGACCTTTACAGACACTCACACAGCATTCCAAGAAAGTACCTAGCCAACCCAGAGTTACCCCTGAAAAACTGAGACAAAAAAACTGAGATTGACCCTATGACAGTTCACACAATGTACAGGTTTTATTTTAACAGTTGTTTTTAATTTTTTGTGTGCATCTTTTGTACCAAGAGAAATCTCAAATTCATGGTAACCAAAGTAATGAAATTTGAATAATCCCGACTCAAAGACAGCATCACTTTTGTTTTCAGTATCATCTTATTATTTTAGAAGACGAGCATTATTTCAATCGTTCTCTCATTAGTGAGCATTCAGACATTCAATCTGTAACAAAACAAGTAGCTTATCAACTTATTAACTACGAAATGTTGCTAACTATTCATATCTTTCTTTATCCAGGATCTTCGTGGACGTCGTGGTGAATCACATGGCGGGTTTAGGTCGTGTTGGTCCAGGTTCTGGTGGCTCTCAATTCAACTCAGACAACCTCGACTTCCCTGGGGTTCCCTTTTCTAAACAGAATTTCAACGCCAAGAGCAAATGTCCCTCTGGTGACGGAAATGTTAATGAGTAAGTCACTAATCTATTGTTGTTTACCGTAATATTGAAAACGTACCCTTACTTTCTGACATTGTAAAACGAGTAACCGAAACCCATTACACTAGTGATATGTATTAATTGTCCACTCCTTGTCAATCTGCCTCTCTTTATATCTGTCGAACTTGAAAGGGTACGAAACACCTGCATATGAAACGCAGGAAAGCATGCCGCCGAAGTAAAGATAAAGGTGATTATGGTCAGCACAAGTTCCAATCTTCCAAACTGTCCAGAAATCCATTTAACGAGAATGTTTCTAGTCACTCGAGAGAAATACACTCAAGTTATTGCTGGTGTTTGATAACCTCGAATAGGGCTGAAATCAATTGTACGCTAATTTGTAGACTTATATAAGGATGGAGACACTGTGTAGTATAATAAGAAAAATGTTCCAAATAGATCCAATGAACTATTTTGCCACTTGCCTTTTCTCTGATTTTGAAAGACAATTTCACGGTAATCCTTTTGGCCGCTTGTTCACTCTAAATAAACTTTACGCTTTGTGGGGAGGGGGGGGGGCACCTTCAACCCTGCAGCCAGTTAGGCGCACATTGCTAACATTGACATATTCAGTCCCTACTGATTTCCAAGAAACCTAGTACGGCAAAGTGGACTGCGGAAAGAAAGCTAAAATATATTTACTACGGATACAACTTCCTTCTATTCAAAGCCAGAAATCGAACTGATAACTGCCTTGCCGCTGGACGTGGGAGCACTTACAGCTACTAACAATTCTTTGAGCAAGAGAACTCTATAATCTATGTCATTTCGAACGGACAACGTTTCGTCTTATACCCCCCCCCCCCCTTCTCGCTCTCTTTCACAGCTACAACAACCCCGCTAACGTCAGGAACTGCTACCTGGTGGGGCTCACTGATCTGGACCAATCTCAGTCCTACGTACAAGACAAGATCGCCGGTTTCTTTAACCACATGATCGACATTGGCGTCGCTGGCTTCAGAGTTGACGCAGCCAAACACATGTGGCCAAATGACTTCAAGGCTATTCAAGGCAAAGTAAGAAATGAGAAGGAAAGATAACAAAACTATTATGAATATTTAGTATGAATATCAATGTAATATCAAGTTCAAACAGCAGCAGTGAGAGGTTGTGATACCTTGTTTTTTGGGGGGTAGTTTTTTCTCTCCAGCGACTAGGACCCATGTATTGGCTTTGCTGAGTTGAAAATGTTCGACTTCCTTTATAAATTTGCGTTCTTTAGCAACCCCCCACCCACCTCTTCCCTGCATGGTATCAGCTTCTATTATCTAAAAAATAATAATACATGGGATAAGCAAAACTATTCCTTTCACCTCAATCTCTTTCTTTCGTTCTTTCTCTTTCTTTTGCAATAAATGTAATATCATATTATATGGTACAGAGAAACACTTTATAATAAAGGTTGGGAGGAAAGTCGGACACAGTGACAAGTTCTTATGCTTCAACAATGGGGAAAGAGCTTAAAGGCAGAGTACTTTGGCTGTCGGTTTTACGCATTTATAACATGTTGAAAACAGGTGAAAACAATATTAAGTTCATGCCTTTATGACAGCATTTCTGCAAGCTTCTGGAAATTTTGGCTGTAATTTTCCCCAGACCAAAAATTTGCCAGAAGGAGGAAGACCATTCTTTTACCAGGAGGTCATTGACCGTAACGACGGCGCTATCAAGGTCAACGAATACTTCGACTTAGGTTACGTCACAGGTAACAAAGCCTATCATTGGGCATAGTGTTGTCGTGTATGGTGTTTATTTTTTTCAGAGCATGAATTAGGAGACGCTACACAAACGAAAGGCCAAAGGCCGTTGCTATTCATAAAGCAGAGACTGCACAGTATATAAATCTGACGTTACAACTTCAACGTGGGTGGTTGGCGGGTGCTCTGGTGTGGTTTGCTCCTTCTTTCCTCTAAACAGCTACCGTCCTTATCTCTCCTCCTTCTTTTTTACGTTTGTTGTTACTCTCTTGTAACACCTCTAATCTTCGGCACTTATATGACCTTATTGTGTTGCAAGTGCCGTAAAACGCTTTACTAAAACTAAAACAACTTCAAAAAGCAACCTGAATTAGTAAGGAGAACAAAGGAGAAGGGTAACAAAACTTATTACCCCCTTCGCCCAAATTGATTAAATAAATAGATACATAAAAATAACGTTTCGAAGTGCTTTAACTATGCAAAACACCTGGGGTCGCTGTTCTATTCTCCCAGGAACATGAGACAGCGGGCTTCAGTGATCGTCGTGATGGGTAAAGACGTGAGGGGTCTTGTTTCAGAAAACGTTTTCCAGCACTTGCAACTCAATTAGGTATATCGGCACCGAAGATTAGGTGTTACAAAAGAGTAACACAAAAAAAAATGACGGAGGAGTGATAAGGACGATAGTATTTGATAGGAAAGACGCACCAACATCATCAAAGCACCCGCCAACCACCAGTCTGAGAGGGGTTTATTTCATGTTTACCGAGAAAAGTCTGATAAACAGAACTGATGGAGCCATGTAGCCAACTGTATATATATGCAGCAGCTCAATAAAAATGGTGAGGGGACAGACCGCGCCTTTTGGTGTTAAACCTTTGAAACTTTACTTTGAACGCACAAAAAAAACCCCATATTAAATCGATATAATTAGCCAAAAAGTGAAATAGGATACTTGGTTTGCTAATTTAAATTTGACCTCACTGGGGTAACGACTAGATAAGGTACGTCTGAAGTAAGTTTTGCTAAAATGCTAATGCAAAGGGAAAACATTTGGCCAGTGAGATTTTTTTACTGACGATTTAATACATTCAGAAGAAATTGATGGTTTACTCACAATTTTTGGAAATCTTTTCCACGTTCGAACTCTTTTATGGCAATGGAAAAGTGGGGAGAGAGGGGGGGGGGGGGTTCTTAAATATAGTCAGAAGGTGCTTTCATGAAAGCAATTAGATGGAAACCGTTTACATCGGTAATACTAAGATGAATAGATCAAGGTTGTCGATGTTAATAAAGTTGAATTTACGACATACGAGAATACCTTTACAAATATTTATTTTTTAAGGAGGCATCCGTGGGCTCCTAGTATACAATGACACTTTACAAAATGCACCAAGCTTATACATTTTTCAGTGCATTTCATTTTACCATATTCTCTCTTTCTTTCTGTCCTTCTCTCCCCCTACTCTTTCTCCTCTCTCTCTCTCTCTCTCTCTCTCTCTCTCTCTCTCTCTCTCTCTCTCTCTCTCTCTCTCCCTCTCTTTAAAATGGTTTGTATGTTTATCTTTACTGTATGTTTTATCTTGCTTTCAGATTTCAGCTTCCTGTATTTATTTTCTCTCTCACTTTTTCACTTTTGATTTTTTTTCCTTTAGTAATTTCCAATTACCTTAATTGCTGCTTTACAGAGTTCCGTTACCTCCAGAAGGTACGCGACGGTGCCAATGACCTGGGCAGGCTGGGCGGTGTCTACGACCCAGGCTGGGGAATGGCTCCATCCGACCAGGCTTTTGTTTTCGTCGACAACCACGACACGCAGAGAGGCGGCGGGTCTCTCACTTACAAGGTAATATCACTCACTAATCCTTTTTCGACATTGTTTGCCTCTTTCAAATTATGGATGTTTAGTTTTGGCATCTCATCCATTTCATCGCAATAATTGTGTTATGCAAAATAATTTAAACTTTCAGAATGTAAGCGACACAGCAAGCTAAGAAATCTCTGAATCACATACAACCGTAATCAATTGGGAGTGAATTCATTCTTGCTGTTTATTATTGGGATGGAGAAATACGACAAAAACGACCCCCCCCCCCCCTTTCCAGAAGGAACACCCGCCTCCCAAAAAAAAAACCCAGACCGTCCCCATACCCAAAAAACAACAACAAAGAACAAAGTACTGGATATATATATATATATATATATATATATATATATATATATATATATATATATAGATAGATAGATGGATAGATAGATAGATAGATACGCGATTACAAAACTATGAAACAAAACCTATATCACAGCAGGGGAGGTAATAAATACCGTGCTGCTGTTTAGTTAATTAGCACTTGTCTGTATGTCTGGCTGGTTCTATTGTTCAGTAACAGAATACAGGGGGCATTGTAAGACGAAACAGGAACAAAGAAAAGAGAAAATTAAGGAGAGAGCGTTTGGTGAATAATATATTAGAGTGAGCGGGCTAAACCGACTTTGGATGAGAGGATGTTAGGAGAAAGTGAGAAAGAGTGAGTGCGAGTGAGAGAAAAAGAGACATTGGATGAGAGAGATGAGGTGAAGAGAGAAAGAGAGAGAGAGAGGAAGAATGAGAGAGAAAGGGGGGGGGATAGCAAAAAACTAGGAGAGTGAGAGAGAGAAAGAGAGAGAGAGAGAGAGAGAGAGAGAGAGAGAGAGAGAGAGAGAGTGTGTGTGTGTGTGTGTGTGTGAGAGAGAGAGAGAGAGAGAGAGAGAGAGAGAGAGAGAGAGAGAGAGAGAGAAAGAGAAAGGGAGATTTTGCAATGGAATAGGCGAGGGGTAGGTATAGGTCCTCTTATCAAAACCCTTGTGCTGGTGGTAACTGTAATGTCTAAACTTGAAAAGCAGCATTTTGGATGCAAATCCAAGCAGTACTGTAAGAAGAAATAATGAGATTTTCACTCTTCCAGAACGGCGCTGAATTCACTCGCGCCAATGCCTTCACCCTGGCTTACAACTACGGGTTCACACGAGTAATGAGCAGCTACTACTTCAATGGCGACGCCGAGGGCCCACCACACAACTCCGACTATAGCACCAAGGACGTCACCATCAAGAGCGACGGCTCTTGCGGAAATGGATGGGTGTGTGAACACAGGTCAGTCTTGATTTGGAGGGTGACGTAGGTCTCTGCAATAAGCTACTGTTTGTTAAGACCACAGATTGATCATTATCACCACCACGACAAAAGCATCAATGGAAAAAAAGAAAACAACGCCACCAATTTGTAAACACCCTTGACGCACACCAACAAAGTAATTATCAGGACAGAAAACCTGGGTGGGGTCTACAGAACGAGGTCTATGGATGCTGTTTCGTTTCAGCGCACAGTCACTTTTTAACTAACAGGCAAAGATTGTGAAACCGGCCGCAAGCGAACCCCCCCCCCCCCCCCAAAGAAATCCAACATCATAGTTTTAAACAAAAACAACAATTGTGTTCCAGCACAACATAACAGTACATACAACCTGGTATGTTTTCTATGCTCGAGATCATTAACATCCGGCCGGTATTTGGGGGGGTGGGCTTTGCAAGAATGACGCTTGGCATAGACACCGGAGAACATTTTTGAATAGGAAAAGAACACAGAAAATTTATTATAATTATTATTATTATTATTATTATTATTATTATTATTATTATTATTATTTTTATTATTATTATTATTGTTATATTGTTATCAGATCTTACATTATTAGAACATCAAAGGATGTGTGTACTGTGTATTCCTTGAATGAGATTCTACAAACTCAGTGGTCCCACGAAACATGTCGAGTTACTTGGCTATATGTAAGCACTACATTAACAGGTAACGTTAAAGTTGTAAAATTATTAAGATTAATAATTCCGTAAGAAGACGTTCAATTTGCATGTTATCTGACTAAAGTAAAAGATCAGTCGAAAAAGAAAACAACGTTCTGATAATAACACATCGACGTACATTCTAAATTCCTATTTTTACCCACTGCTCATTTATCACCAGATGGAAGCCTATTGGCAACATGGCAGCTTTCAGAAACTATGTCGCAGGAACTGACGTCAACAACTGGAAATACGAAGGGGGCGTACTATCCTTCAGCAGAGGAAACAAAGGATTCTTCGCCATGTCTAACAATGATTTCAACAAAAACATCCATACAAGTATTGATCACCTGTCTTCATTTTTGTATTCTGTGCCATTGAACTTTCAAGGGAAGGGAAGTTAGGAAGGGGGCGGAGGCGTTCTGATGAGAGTGTGGATAAGCAAGATTTTAATATGCGATTATTTCTGTTGCGTCACGTGATACGAATGTACAAAAGATTATATTTCCGTGTCTAACTGATTACTGGTACTTTATCATCTTCTTTTCTTTCCTTTTTCTATAGGAGTTTTTCTATACGTGTTGACAAAAGTGTAAAAAGTAGCAATATGTGATAATATCAGGAACCGATACTCACCTAAAACATATAACATGTGCCCTTTATTTCGCATTTACCTATTTGCTCAATCTCCTTCATAGCTTTTTCTGTCTCTTTGCTTGTAATCACCCCCCCCCCCCCATCTCAAACCGGTGACTGGATTTGTACGTTCCCATCTGATCATACGCATTCTTCAGTGCTATCACGTACTTCTCTCCTACCCAGACCTCCCAGCGGGCGAGTATTGTGACCTCATTAGTGAGTGCGGCACCAAGATTAAAGTGGACGGCTCTGGCAACGCCCAGGTCAAGCCTGCGTCAGGCAGTGATCCATTTGTGGCCATCATCACAGGTAGGAGTGATAGATTACCTTTTTCTGATTTTGATAAGAATGAAGATCATAGGTGAGGCATCGTGGTGAAACCAGGCGCTCGTCAAAATAATTAAATCAAGAATACCGGCATTTTTCTGCCTGTTCGGCAGTTCTTATCGCTTAATATAGTTTTTTGTTTTGGCTCATCACCTTATATATTCATGTAAAACACATTTCTGTGTGGATTTACTTAAAGACGTTGCTTAAAGGCAAAGAAGATGTAAATTTGCTGTTTCTAAGAAGGGCTCTCAAACTTTGGGAGTCATATTCTCGCTATATTACCTCTGACACCAGACGATCCTCACCCCCTTCAACCGCAAATATCCCGACTTTTATTCATGATAGATTGGTACCTTTTACAACGAAAGCAAGACAAACAAGCACATTTTAAGATGATCATGATACTAATAACTCCATATATATGCCCAAAAAAATGACGAGCGCTGGATTCCACCGCGTCGTGACACATAGTATACTTTCTTTCTCCCGAGTCCCAATCGATTTACTACATTCTTTACTTGGATACTGCCATTATAGTTGGTTTTTATGTAGGTGTTTTACGCCCCATCGACACAATTTAGATAATTCTAACCCTTCCTGTCCGAGCCATCTTGGGCAGAGAGGGATAAATCACACCAGAAAGACCGAGACACTTGATCAAAACTTTCTCTTCAATCGCGAATCGAACTCGGTCTCCTGCGTGCGACAGCGAAGCGCATCACAACTACATCACGGACTCAAGTATCATGGCTTTGCACATACGATCTACTTTGTCGTTATTGTAATCATCTGATCAGAGCACCCCAGTAATCAGAGTCTCATAAGAGCAGAATGGGCAGTGTTTTTCTTTTCAAACTTGTAGGCATTTTCAGACGAAAGTAAACATGATATTCATCGTTTTTTTATGAGGTAACAAATCTAGAAGGTATTTTTTTTAGCAATATTATTTTTCTACGATATATTTTGGCACTTTGTATTTTAAAAAACCGCACATAATATACGTATATAGGTATAATATACCAATATACCCGTTCCCACAGAATCACATAGCAAACTCATGCGTGAAAAGGGTGAAATGGTTTGGGTTTAACGCCCCTATCAACACTATTAGGTTATTTACGAGCTCAGGCTCGAATCCCCGAACCTGCAATCTCACGATTACGAGTCCGGTAGCCTAACCGCTAGGCTACCGATACCAAACTCATGCGTACACTGATACTTATGTATACATACTGCACTGTCATCTTTCTTCCCTTCTTGGCCCATGGCTACTTTCCCAATCCGTCTTCTGCAATTCAACCTTTTCCTTACAAACGCACACACACACACACACACACGTATACACACACATACACGCACACACATACACACATACACACACATGCATACACACAAATACACACAAAGTACAGTCACGCACAGTCACGCACTCATACACTCACTAATACATAGTATACATGCACTTTTAAGCGAAAATATTCTAATGTGATAAAATCCATTTATATCCTCACTCACTCACTCACTCCCTCACTCACTCCCTTATTCATGTTTGCCTTGCGTTTTTCTTTCTTTTGTTGTCTAACATTTTTCTTTGGTACTCTACAATAAACAATATCGTTAAATCGCTTGAAACAAGCTTCAGTCACATCAAGATTAAAACGTAACCGATACACCTTGGCTTTCCGTATTTAAAGGCATACCACTACGACAAAGAACACATTTATCAGATCATGAAAAAGATATGACAATAGCAATATTAGCATGGTCTGAGCCAGGGAAGTCTGGGAGTTATGTCGTTTTTCCCCAATGATATTCTCCTTCCGGCGTCGATTAATAAATGTTCACAATTTTATAAGGGTCAGGTATTGATAGAAGAAGAAAAGGGTTGTATGCGCTTTTTAAAGGAAAATGTGAATTTGCAAAACCAGAAGATGTCCAAGCCCGAAAAAATCTCCATTAAGAGTCCGTTCACTGTTGGGTAAAATATTGGTCAACTGAAATAATGGTGGCTTTACTCCCATTTTTTCAAGGTCACAGCACTGTGTGGTTGCAATACTCTAATGAAATTATGTTGTTCATATTGTTCTTTATTCAGCCAATGATAATATGTGTCTGTTTAACAAGTCGTGATACATTGCAAAAAGCATACAGGAAAATACAGTAAAATAAACTAGTTGCTTGGGCCCGAAGTTATGTGCCTGGGAAAGGCAATATACACGCGAATTTCCTGTTTGGCTCTGTCCTTTAGGAGATGGACACAAAACTCGAAAGTCCCACCTCTTAAATACCTGATAGTGTTGATGGTGGTGTTAAACCGATACCATTTCACATTTCAAACTAGTTGCGCCTAACCGTAATCTCCTCTTTGTCCACATTGTCTTCCCTCCGTGCTCCCCGCTGGGCCAACGACTACAGGCGACGTTGGAGGGGGATTCCACCCAGGAACTGTATCTCCCGGAGGCGACACCAATACCCAGGCTCCCGGTACCCTCCCTCCTTACCACCCCCCAGCTGATGGAAAGTTCGTGAGGACCATCATCATGATGCAGAAGCAAACAGTGTCTGGACAGGACTTGTTCATTAGAGGAGGAATTGATCACAAACATAGATCAGGTAAGAACATTGTGGCAGAACAACGTAAATAGCTTCTACAGTTGCTGGCACGACCTTTCACTTTGGACTGGTACTGAATCCAGACGCAGAGTCCGAACGTTATTTGAACGATCAATTTATAATTTTAAATCCTTACGAAGCAGCAGTGTGTGGGGTGATAATATTTTGCATGCAAGGTGATTCTGACGGGTACGTTCAATGCTTTCTCAAGTAGCATAAAAAACGAATTGAAAGAGAAACATGACAGTCATGAATCATGACAGATACGGTATTGCTCAATACTTATGCGGACGGCATACCATACTTGTAATATTCGACTTCAGAACTATACAATATTCCTTATCAAAAGGCTTCGTCATTTGAAAGATTCCACATGTATCTGAGGTCTTAATTTTCGATACTATTACCGTCGTCAAGGATCAGATAAATGGTATTGAACTGTGGCAAAATTTCATTACCAAAGTCCGGTTGTAGATGAAACTCACTGTCTGTTGTCATTGTCACACATGAGTAACATAAAAGAAGAGATCGAACTGGTACAGGTAAGACAACTTGTCAAAGTCTAATGATCTGACCTCAGTTTGGTTCTGACTGTTTTCATCTTAAAGATCATCTGCAGTATCCACCGTAAGCTTGAAGTACTCACAATCTATATTTATAAATATTTGTGAAAGTTCATCACTTCGGTCGCCTAAAACTCCCGAACCACCTAACTTTCGAATTTGAGAAAAAAAAGATAACGGTGGTTCAGAAACATTTAAAGGGTGCACACTTATATTAAGGAGTCGGAAGTCACTGTAGTTTAATTTTCAGTTTTTCATTAGTTTCGTTTAGATCTAATCTTGGGAAAGTCCGTCTTCTAGGAGGCCAATGTAAACAAATGAGACTTCCGTTCACAAGAAGTACGCACTGTTTCCACAATGACTTGACAATCGATTCTTTTGAGTCCGTTCATCGAACGGGTGCCCAGCTAGTCTGTAATAAAACGCGTGGTCCTCAAAATAAGAGATTGTCCCCAAGAACGATTCTAGGCAAGGCTACTGATGACCTCAAGCAGAGTGTCTTGGCGCCTTTGTAACCCCTTCCCTTACATTGGTGTAAAACGTCTATGCCACACCTACAAAGTGGATCAATCACTTACAAATCGCTCCTATATATTGTCACAGGCTGTACCAATGACGCTACCACCAGTGCGTGTGCCATCCCCATCAAGCACTTGGCCGATGGAACCTCAAATCACTTCGCTGGGGTAAGTAAATTTAACGTCCTGTCCTTCTGTCAAAAACAGTCATACAATCCGCAAAGCAAACTACTACTTTATTATAAAGATAGCCCACTGAAAGGACACCTATCTGAGAATAAATACTTCTGGGGGGGGGGGGGGTCAAGTTAAATTACGATCCCACTATGGCAGATCCTTGTGGGCTGCTGGTCAGGAATACATGCATCATAGTGACATGTCATAAATGTTAAGTCTATACTTTTGGAATGTCATTAATTGCTAACCAGACAAACTGTTTGCTGTTTATAGCGCACTTTATGATTACGATTCTGTATTTCCACTCATTAGGATTCATAAAGGTTTTGGCTATTTAGAAGGGAACGTATCTTTGTGGTGTAAGAGAGCAAGACTGTCGATTTTTACCCTCCGAACGTGAGCATTTTTGGAAACACAGGACAACAATCAAAACCCACTCACCCCTGCCTCAGTTGATTTCATGAAGAAAGGCCGCAAACCCAGGTCGTATCTCATACTAGGCTTTTTTTAAAGCATGAATTGTAAACGGAGTTTTCAAGAGTGTTCACTGTCGTCGCACGATCTTAATGGAGATGGACAGCGCTGTTCATGAGACTTATGGGACGATTCAATTGAAATAACGAGCAAACGACCAAACCACAGCCATTGTAGTCAAGAGGCGGGAAGCCACTTTGGGGGGAGGGGGATGATGGCGGAAGGTAAACAGCAAACATGCAATGGAAGTTGTGCTAAAAGGATAGAATAAGAGACGCACCAATGAGAGAGATGATCGAGAAATGATGTAGAACGTGGGAGGATTAGTAATGAGGCAGAAATTTGAACAATCTCTTGACGGAAATAAAGAGAACTATAGCTGACATGAAATTAAAGGGGGAAGTGAGAAACAGAGGATAAGAAGTTACGTACAATGTAGACATCAGAAATGCAAGAGGAAGGTCAGTAAGATGGACGTGATTAAGCCAATAGACTAGGTGTAAGGTCTCCGTATAGATATAACTCGAGGCATACTTATAAACAAATCTAGATTCATTGTTTGAGTTTGGCGACCCTGTCAACAAAAGTCAGGTCCAGGTGGAACCAGGTAATGTACGTCAACAATATCCAATTTACCAAGTTGGGAAGCCTTATCAAATTCCTCAAAACTATACATTTTCTAATTCCTTTTTATTTTGAATCTGTTTCGTTCTAGTCGTAGTTCAACATCCAACTAACTGAGCCTGCTGAGCTCCAAGACCGCACACCGTCGATGGTCGAGATGCTCGTAGAGCACGTGCTATGATTTCGTTTTCTAGAAATGGACGCGCCGATGCTATACTGGCAAAGTGTTCTTTGAACAACAATGTAACAAGAGGAATAGGCTATCTGTATAAAGAATACGAGAAAGTTTGTGTCGTGGCTAAAAGACAACAAATAGTTCCACTTTCAAGTTATCAGAGCATTTTTACCATACTTCTTTTGACACATAAGCTTGAAGAGATTTCGATGATTTTTCTTTTTAATAGAAACCCTTTATGCATCTATTTTAACGAGGCCTCAGGCTCATACTCTTAGGGCAGTGCCAGTAGATATCACCTCCAAAATCTAGATACAGGTTATATTTATTACCTCCCTAAAAAACATAATAAAATGAAAGAAACTAATTCCAAAACCCACCGCCAAATACCCCTAAAGAAAATGATTATCCAGATACCTGGACTAATGATCCAAATTTCGCTCTGTTAAAGCAGTGAATGAAGAAGTAAGAACAGCTGTTGGCACTGAGTCCTGCCTGCATTTCATAGAGAGACAGAGAACGAAATGGTTTGGCCACCTGTTACGTGTGTCATCTGGCCAGCCAGCCTTGAGAGCAAACAGCACTTAACACTCAGGCTATAAAGGAAGAGGAAGGCCACGCAAAAGGTGGATTGAGAGTGTCAAGGAAACCCTGAGAAAACATAATATCACAACTGAAAGAGCTGCAGAGCTAGAGCTGGCCTACCATAGAAAACTGCATCGCCCCGCGACGCTTAACGGCACCAAAGGATAAAAAAGTAAAAGTAAAGTGGTGAAATATTCCTTTGTTTGCTTATTTGGTTTCAAATTACAATTTTATTGTACCCGGAAATTGAGTCTACCAAATGTATGAAAAGTATACCACTACAATCCATGACTGTGGTATTGTTCATCCGTTCTGTTTTATTGCCTTATTATTGGTTGATATTTGTGTCAATTCATGGAAGGGATATTTCTAAACATGGACAGACTGGTAGAACAATCGAGCCATCTGGAAAGCAAAATGGATACAAATGCACGATTAAAAACGAGTTTCCTAATATTTAAGAATAGACAGAAAAAAAACAACAACAATGAGACAGACTGTCAGAAAATAGCCAAACTCCTTTTGGCCACCCTGAGAAATATAAAAATGAGACACAAAACGTCAATGTAACAATCAATTGCAGGTGAACGCGTGGAAAAAGGGGGACAATTTCCTTGATTGGTATGGAGCTGAATCAGGTCAAGGATCCTTCCATGGCCGTAAGGCTCAGGGAACCCCAGCCTTCTGGTCCACAAATGATAAAAGCAATGCCGGATACAACGCGCTCAATACGTGAGTAAAGACACTCGTGTGTGTGTGTGTGTCTGTGCGTGTGTGTGTGTGCGTGTGTGTGTGCGCGCGTGTGTGTGTGTGTGTGTGTGTGTATGCGTGTGTGTGTGTCTGAGCGTTCGTGCGAGTGTGTGTATGAATATGTGTGTGTGTGTGTGTGTGTGTGTGTGTGAGAGAG